CATAAACACACAGAGTCAGGTCTGTGATTCTGACTGAAATACAATGGAATACTTAGCATTGAAGCTTAGCCTCCAGGTGAATATGATTGTACACACACATATACACCTGTATGTGAGTGTGTGTGAGTGTGTGTGTTTGGTGTGCATATTCATGGTCCTGGCTTTCATCTGCAGGTCAAGCTTTCATTTAAGAAAATCAAATGAAGCTGGTGTTCCTCTCCTGCTCTAAGTGCACTGTTGTACAAAGACACATTTCAAAGTCAAATTCCCACTTAGCCTGTGGAGTGTGCACGGGCACGTGGAGTGGCTAGAGTTTGTGGAGTGTGCACGAGCGTGTGCTCAGTGATACAGCAGGCAGAAATTCATCAAAGCCTAATGTTCTTTCAGAGAAAAAACACACTTAAGAAAAAAATGTATGTGTGTGTGTGTGTGTGTGTGTGTGCAGACCTTGCTGTACCCGTGTGTGTTTCTGTGAATGTATACATTCATATTTATCAGCATAAAGATCTAAACTAAATGCTAATTAGTAGCCTGTTGTTAAGCATTGTCTTAGCTAGCAACAATTAGCAATGTTTTTATTTTACAACGGAGCCAATAACAACAAGGCTCTGAGTGAGAAGTTAGTTACAGGTGTGTTAGCATCATGTTAGCTCTGGACAGGTTTGTGAGCCAAAGAACAAGAGCAAAACAAATGTGTGTTTGTGTGTGTGTGTTTGACTAACCACAGGTTGATTAGCAACAGGTTTGTGCGCAAAAGTTCAGCCAAGGACAAGTTAAGAGCAATAGGTGTAGTGGCAATAGGCAGTGTGTTAGCATCCTGTCAGGTTTATGTCAATAAATTACAGTACATTTTTACTAACAAGACTGTTAGTAAATGGACAATAATTTGGTTAGCCTTCTACTAGTTAGCGACGGGTTAAATAAGTTCCTTTGAACTAATGTCAGTTAACAAGAGGGTCAGTCAGTGACATGTAGCTCAGGTCTATGAGCAGCTAAACTAGCTCCAATAGCCACACTAGCAACACGCCCAAATGCAACAGTTTAATTATTAATATTTGTTACAGTAGCAAAGGTTGGGTTAGCATGACGTCTAACGATGTACATTTAGTTAGCGACAGGATGATTGGTGACCATGTTGTTCGTCCAATGGCAACTACAAACAGGTAGTCCATCAGTAAAGGATTTTGTAGTCCAAACTTTCAGGAGCAACAAAGTCTCCTCAGACTTAACATTACTTTAAAAAGTCATTTTTTTCACTCTCAAATATGGTCCTACCTTTGACAGAGGTGTTGGGGGGTGGTCCTTCGATGCGTAGGTTCCATGGCGGGTCTCCCTGGTTGGCGAAGTCCCTCATCTTCAGGTAGCTGATGGTGAGACGGATAATGGACGCTTTGTCCAGCTGACTGGTGATGGCGCCAGGCAGCGGCAGCATCTTGGCCAGTTCATAAAACTCAAAGTTCTCTTTTCCACGCCGCGACCGTGCTGCGTCACGTGACTTCTCCTTCCTCAGAGCCTGCAGCCTGAGAGGACGGAGACAGAGGATGATGGGACATTAGGACGTTAGGACAGCTGCTGAACATCAAAGTAAAAACCTTAGTGACCGCATTAGTGATTGTGTTGGTCAGTGGTAAAGGTTGGCTTTATGCTCAACCCTCTTCACGTCCTCCTCAGCCCAGACATCTGCAGAGACTCACTACTCTTCACCTTCTCCTCCTGTTTATTTTGTCTGCTCCTTCACCACCTCCTCTCCTCACCTCCATCCTCACCTCCTCGCTCTCCGTAACTTCCTTTTACCTCCATCACTTTACACTCCATTAATTTAAACCAAAGAACCGTTCTGTTTGTTCTCTCCCCTGTCTTCCGCTCTCTCCGTCTACCCCCGCCGTCCCCCCTCCCTCCCTCTCTCTCTACCTCTCTCTCTCTCTTGTCATCATCATCTCATGCCGTTATGAATTAACTCTGCAATAAATCAGCTGCTAAAAACCTCTATGGGCTTCCTTCCGGCCACACACACACAACCACACACATATAAACACACACACACACACACAAAAGACAGGTGATTAATTTTTGCCTGTGCAAAAAAAAAATACCAAAGAAAAGTGTTACAGGGAGCGAAAGAAGGAGGAGGAGGAGGAGTAAGAAGAGGGATGAGATGGTGAGAGGAGAAACACTGAGGGGGAGGAGGAGAGAAGGTGGAAGAGTTGTTTAGGGGCGACAGATGAATAATGGCTGTCATCAAGGAAAGAATATCATTTTCATACTGTTTGTCATTTATTTATCTGAGGGAGGAGAGATTAAGGAGAGAGGAGAGAAGAGGAGGAGAGAGGACAGGAGGGGAGAGGAGAGGAGAAGAGAGGAGAGGAGAGGAGAGGAGAGGAAGAGGAGGAAAGAACAGAGTGAAAAGGGATCCACCGCTGTCAGTTCCACAAGAACTGAATCTAAAACCTCAAAAAAGCCCAACTGGGTGAGGAGACGGTGACATCATGCTGTGGGCGTGTCCTGTACGTGTTTCTCTACGTTCTTATCTCCACATATTGCAGCAAATTCATTTTCATTTACTTTGAACCAAATTCAATTTTCCTTCCATTTATATTTGGGGGTAAAATAAACTCCGAGCTTCATTTTTTCCCTCTCTTGTGTCCAGATAGGAGAGTTATCTGTTTACACCATCAGCTCATCCATCAGCTCAGGCCAGACTTGGAAGCAGGAGGAGAAGTGGGAGGAGGAGGAGGAGGAGGAGGAAGAGAAGGAGGAGGAGAGGAGAAGAAGGAAAGAGAACAAACAAACATGGAGGAGTTTCAGCGGAGGAGATAAAATAGAATCACAGCAGCGGTGAATATGAGGAGAGATAAGAGGCCGAGCTCTGTACGGCTCTGTGGGACGACGGGGAAATCTGAGCAGCGTCCAGGTCCTGACCACTGACGGCCTTCAGAACTCTGTGCACGGGCACATGCACGGAAACAAACATACCATGTTCTACAAAAAGGTGCAGAGAAAATCCTTAGCCAAAGAAGTAGTAAATGTTTCTTCAACAATACACAATAGAACAAATCATTAAAACTCAGCGTTTTACAATGTTTGTCAAACTCTGACTTTCTCATAACAAGGTCTACAGAGAAAACCCATGATTTATTTTACAATGTTTGTCAAACTCTTTCTCATACCAAGGTCTACAGAGAAAACCCATGATTTTACACCTCAGCCTTCAGTAACAACTGTTTTACCACTGTCTACACCACTGAGTTTAAATGATTTGTTTCAATTCATCTCAGTGACACACACTGACCACACGAGGCAGCGGTAGACCAGCAGCACCTTTGGCACTCTGGGCTAAAACCATTGATTTTTCTATGGAAAATGACTGGTTTACAAAGTGAAATGACTCAACTTAGGAAACACTCACACAACAATGAACCACAGGTCAATAGAACAACCAGCAGCACACAGTCGTTGTTATGGCAACACCCGTGTTTAAAATCAATTGCTTTGATTTATCCCAGTTACAAAATCTGACCATGAGGGGCAGTAGTGGACCAGTAGCTCCGATGGACCTGAAAGATAAAATCCCTTTTTTTTCCAATGGTTTTTGGTGTGGAAGAGTGAGGAGTGAACCGGACTGCAGGACAGTTGTCACTGGCACAGGACGGTGATATTTGACGTGTCTTCACAGGTACGTTTCTTTGAGAGATTTCATCAGCAGGGGGCGCCGACAGCGTGTGTCAGTATCTCTTAGAAACACACTTTAAAAATATGCTGAGTGTCCTTTAGGTGTCAGTTTATGATTGTAGGAGAAGTGAAAGAGGAAGTGACGGTCCTTTTTAATAAGATCGTCCTGGGATCATCACATGATTTAGGCTTCAGGCTGATGAAAAGGGACAGAGAACAAGTGCTGTCTCTGTCTTTACTGCTGCTCCTCATTTTTAAAGCTCTCTCTACCCCACTCTCTCTCTCTCTTTCAATTCAGGTGACCTGCAGCCAAGGTTCCACCCTGTCAACTCTGCTGAGGACGGGAACCAGGGGGAGAACACACACACACACACACACACACACACACACACACACACACAGAGGGTAATTGCCTCCATGGCTCTGGTAAAGGAAGGCAGAGAACAAGTGTCACTTTGGATTAAACCCCACCTGCTGACATCACCGTGGCGATGACATTGCTGTTCACTGTGTGTGTGTGTGTGTGTGTGTGTGTGTGTGAGTGAGTACTGATCACAGGAGTGCCAAAATCGATCTATAGGTGAAATCAAAGAGGGAGGAGGAGAGAAGGAAGAAAGGAAGGATGAAACAAAGGAAGAAGAGAAGGAAGTTAACCAGGACGGAGGATTCTATTAAAAAAAACAACAACAAACAACAAACCATCAGCTGCAGCTCATGAGTCCCGCTGGGCTAAAATCTCTGATTTTCTCCATGGACTTTGGTCAGTGGTTCATAATCTCCAGTCTCCTGTCAGAAAAGTTTGTCTAACCCTGAAGCGACGCAGTCAAACAGCAGCACAAACACAGAAACCTCCTCTGCTGACGGTGTAAACATGAAGGATCGTTTTACAGCACACATTACAAATACACTCATTATCATTTACACTGAGGTTTTTTTCTATAATTTATTTTAAAATGTTCAACAGCGTTTCCTCCCTGTAATTTGCCTCCCTCTCGTTTGTTTCTGATTCATGTTACTATTCATCTTTAGTAATTAAAACCCTGCTCTCATATCCATAAAATTCACATTATTACAGCCCATAATCTTCCTTATCGTATTAGTCACATGAGCGTTCCTTAATTGTTCTAACGTTGTGCATTAATGATTTCATGCATTTTAAAATAAATAATGTAAAAGTTTGTCTTTTTGCTGAAGGAGATAAAACTGCAGTTGTCCAATTAAAAGACAAAATGTCCAGGAGCTAAAACAATGACAATAGGAAAGATTTATTAAAAGTAGTGGAAGCAGTGTTCATATACTGTGGTGTGACTAGGTCTGTGCACGTATGTGTGCACGTGTTGTCTGCTGGCTGCTGTCATAGACCGCAAACATCACTGTAGGTTGTTCTCAGTCTGTGGTTTTGAAAAATGTTTGAATTAAATGTATTTGTTGTGTTGATTTTAACATCTAATACGTGTTTTCAACACCTTTAAACTGATGTCGTTAATGACTTCAACTCTTTTGACACTTTCCACCAGGAAGTTCTTTTTTCATTTATATGCTTCCAATGCCAAATCCCAGAGAGAAAATGTGAACTTTTACACACAAACTGACCACAGGAGGCAGCAGTAGTTCTGCTTCCTTTGTGCCAAAGTCCCTGATTTCCTCCTGGACTTCAGTGTGGAAATATAAAAGGAATTGTTTCCCATTAACCTGCTTTGTCACGGCCTCAGACAAAAGCCTTCCTCAAAAACCCTGAACTCTGCCTTTAATCTGCAGTAACTGATCAGGGCCGAAGTTGAAACAGAATCCAAGCTCAGTGTGTCTGCTGTTGGAGTGTCCAGGTGTGTTGGACAGAGGTGTCCACTGTGTGTGTGTGTGTGTGTGTGTGTGTTCACAGGCCAAAGGTATGTTGTTCTGACTCTGTTGCCAAGCTAATTAGCTGTGTAGAGCAGCTCAGGCCTGTGGAGAGGCTACACCACACTGTGTCTGTGTGAAACTCTGCCAAAACACCTTTTTGCTGCTCACGCACACTTCATCTCAAGTGTTCACACACACACACACACACACACACAGCGTCAGGTCCTGACTCTCTCCTGGCCTGCGATGCTAACATCTTGTTATCCGAGTCAAAGGTCGACTTTTACACTGCTCTGTTTGCGGCACACGTTTGTTCACTTTCTTGGCCTAAATTTCACAGAAGTTCATTCACTTTGAGTTGAAACCCTGTGTTTATTAAGGTCCAGACAAAGATCCATCAATCATCTCTACCTCTGATGTCCTCCAGGGACGGGGCCACCAACCACCAGTCCATTCATACCTCAGAAATAAAAGGTCCTAAAATGAGCCGGGACGACTGGGATGGATGGATGGATGGATGGATGGATGGATGGATGGATGGATGGATGGATGGATGGGTGGAGCTGGTGTACAGAGGGAAGAACAGAAAGAGGTTGGATTGTTGGATGGATGGTAAAAGACAAGGACGGACCAGAGGGTGAGGATTTCTGAGTTGGACGAACAACATTAGGGTGAAGAGGAGGAGGAGACAGGAGTCATGACAGGAGACAGGAGTCATGACAGGAGACAGGAGTCATGACAGGAGACAGGAGTCATGGAGGTAGTTTTGCAGAAGGAAGTGAAAAATGAAAACCAGAGAAACCAAAAGAGTGAGTAAGATGAAGGAGGACGACAGGAAGGAAACTGTCTGTGGCTGTCTGTGGCTGTCTGTGGCTGTCTGTGGCTGTCTGCCAAAGAAGAGGAGGAAGAAGAGGAGGAACATCTCTGTGTGAAGGTTAGAGGAGGACACAAGGAGAAAAAAGACCGAGGAGGAGGTGATGGAGACGAGTGAGGAGGAAAAAAAGAGTAAAGC